CAGCTAGGCGGTCACTAAATGGTGGGGGAGAGAGTGAAGTCGACCCTCGGTGCGTTTCTTTCCTCACTATAATAAACCCGAATGCGCTTGAATCTATCACGGTGCGCTAGAAGCCGTGGCTTGGAGGGTTTGCCAACTGACGGGGAAATTCGGACCCCCTAGGTTGCTGCTCCTCCTGTACGCGTGTGTTTTGTGTGTGCGTATAGGAGGAGAAGGAGGACTGAGAGTCAGACTGCAATGGCTTTCTATTAATGTGGCCTTTATGGCGCTTCCGCGAAGGGGGACTTTATCTATATCCACAACCCATAGACTTCGATTGGGATAGATCAGGTGTTGGTAAGGATGACTTGTATGGCCACCTAAAAGGGGACTGGAAAATAAGTAAGCCCCGTTCGCTTAAAACAAACGAGCTTGTAACCAATGTCAGGAAGGCTAAATATTGCCATGTATTAATTCTACTATAACCTTAATCTTAACCCCAGTTCTACTCTAAATCTCAAATCCACAGTTAATACCTACGCATTGGTCAAACCTATAGATAAATCTTGTACGTATGTATATGTTACTCACTATTTTATGGTAACATATTTTATGTTGGATACTGTTTTCAATAGGGTCTTCAAAGGCATTGCCTACTACCCTAAATATACTGAACTATACTGAGCTAACACTGACCTAAGCCTAACATAATCCTGACACTAACCCTTACCTTAAATCTAGACCAAACTTCTCCGGAATTTGGCGCAAAACTACACGTATTGTGGGCGTTTCCTGTTTAGGCGGCCTTACTTGATTGTCTAGTCATCCAGAAGTGCGTTGGTTCCGAACTGACTTGCCTCTCAGATAAAATTTCTCGGTCATTTTGCGGTAGGAATGGCGAACGTGTAACCAGCTACCAGAGAGAAGATATACCAACTAGGGAAAGCGGACTGGTATAGCAACTGCAGACATGGCGCACGATGTGTGCTTAGGCACAGTGGTTAGCTGTCCTGTCTACTTAGAGACGTTGGCTGGTAGTGTATCTTGCTGAAAGAGGCCGGCATGAGCATGCAATAGCTTCTGCTTCAGCTTCTTCTGTCATTAAAAACTCTAAGTAAACGCCGAGATGTTTGAAGTTGAGTGAGCTGGCGATCAAAAATAACAGAATAATCGGGAATGACGGGAAAACATACCTGCCAACGGCGACTCTGGGACTTCTGATCTGACGCCTCGTCAGAGAGGCCATACTTCTTTCTATTGACGATAGTAAAGAGGGTGTAGCCATTGAGCCGACGGTAGTTCTTCAGCATCTGAGCGTCAAAATAAAGCAAGATAAAGGACGACGTGTAAATTAAGATCATTGCACATAAAAAAGAAGACAGCTGGCTGCTAAAAGTGTAGCAGTCATACCTCAAAGTCGATATCATCCATGCCACTGCTTTTCATTTTGCTGCCAAAGCCTGCAGGTCCTGCAGCAAGGTTGGTGCTTTGTGGGTCGGTTGGGTTTGCAGAATTTCCCGAAAGCGTACCAGTCTGCGGAAGAGGATCTGGTGTGGAGAAAAAAAAGAGCTAATGTATGCATAATCACAGTAAAAGGAGCAGCAGGATATTACCCGAATGATAAGTGGATAGAGTTGGATCACTGTGGTGGCGGTGGATATGAGGCTGTGACCTAAACTTTTGGTTCAAATGACAGATCGACCGTCGGTGTCGAGGAAGTCCACTGTGAATACCACAGCAAGGGGGCCGTGTGACGGTGATTTGCGCCTGATTCAGTTTATAGTGTTAGCAGACTTGTGCTGAACCTACTGTACTCTCTCCTCATTCACCCAAGCCTATTGTCATGAACAACACAATAAGACTGGAGGTGGGGGAGAGCGCAGGTGGCTGGCGCGGACGGAGCCC